CACAAGGAGCTTTTATTGTGTACGAAAATGTGTTGTTCATAAGTGGGGAAAAGTCAAGAAATTGACTGAAAAACGAAGAAAAAAGTGGCTTGTACACCTGCATCTGCGGTTGGGAGGAGCGGAGCTGGATAATGCTCGTGTGTGCAAATGGTTAATATAAGATATAATAATATATTAAGATATTAATAAAGACATTTATATAAATAGATACAGGGTGACAAAGTCAGAATTCACTGAATGTTAAACGCCACACATAGACATGATGTAAATAAGATATAATTTGCAGTTCTGAGAGCTTCAAATCACGGAATCGTGAGATTGCGATAAATTGAAGTGAGTGACAGCTTTTTAGTGAGTAACGTTAGATGAAAGCGCTATTTGCTCGCTTTCTAGGCAGGCTATAATCGATTCAGAATTTAAATAAAAGTTGTTTTACGTGCTGCTAACAGGACCAACAGCCACATACCCTGTAACTTACATGCAGCAAAGTTTCAGGAGTGACATATATCCCGCATCCCTCATGTAAATACGGGATTCACTTTCGAAATAGCTCGTTTATAATCAGGGTTAGTTGCTTAGCCTATATCCACATAAACATACCTGCAATATTGTTAGTTGGTCTTAGATATGTTTCATAATTATCAGTGTCCACATAAAATTAAATTTACTGAAAAGGAATGTTTAGAAGTTAATAGTACATATGCTGTATATTGGTATATGGTGGTCAAATTGGCTGACGACACAACGGTGATAGGCCTGATCACTGACAACGATGAGACGGCCTACAGAGCGGAGGTGAGCTCCCTGACTAAATGGTGTCAGGAGAACCACCTCTCACTCAACATCGACAAGACCAAGGAGCTGGTGGTGGATTTCAGGAGACAGAGCAGAGAACACACACCCATTACCATCGACAAGACACCTGTGGAGCGGGTAAGCAGCTTTAAGTTCCTCGGCATTCACATCAATGAGGATCTCACATGGTCCGCTCACACAGACGCAGTGCTGAAGAAGATATATCAACGCCTCTTCTTCCTGAGACGGCTGAGGAAGTTTGGAATGAGCCCCAGCATCCTCAGAACATTCTACACCTGCACTGTGGAGAGCATCCTGACTGGCCGCATCACTGCCTGATTTGGAAACAGCACCGCTGGCAACCGCAAAGCTCTGCAAAGGGTTGTGCGAACTGCCCGCCACATTGTTGGAGGTGAGCTTCCCTCCCTCCAGGACATCTACAC